CGTATGTCGAAACTTTCGTCCCGGGGATGTATAAAGGGGCTTAAGAGAAGTTCCATTCGCCAAACCTTCAACCTTCTCAGACAGCAGGGCCTGGGCTCTATCGCTGGAACTAGGGCTGGGGAACACATAAACCTAGCCTATCTGTAACTATATGAATATGAAAGACATGCCGTGCCCTTCAACATTTTTGAGCAATAGTCTAAGCTCCTAGTATCCCCCTTCATAAGCCCTATAACACTCCCCTATATAATCCCCTATATAACCCCATTTCAGGAGCTTAGACTATAGTACTTTGATGGCTGCCAGGTGATCTGAGGGTGCAGATCTGGCAAAATCATACATGTTAAGGGGGTCAGGATTTCGGACTTGGCCCAGGGGTCGCCCAGGGGTCTAGGGTTTAGGGTTAAGGGCTCAGGGTTGTATAAGGGTTTAGGGTCTAGGGTTTAGGGTGAAAGGTTTAGGGTTTAGGCTATAGACCGTTTAGACCCCGTTGTTGGGACAAGGACGGCTCTATCCCAGAGGAGTATCCATGTTGCAAAATCTTCGAATCCTAGGACGCTGGAGGAAGGTGTCTCTCCAAATGCTTAGCACTTCATACGCTTGCTGGCGCTTAGTAGTGTGTAAGCTTACTGGTGTTTTGAAATCCACCCTTTCCTGCTAATGACCACCACAAATCAAACCCTAAACCCCGAGCGGTGAACTATGTTGTAATTTACAACTTCTTTTCCATTCCTTCATGCCATACGAGCAACTAGCAGGACAACCCTGAACCTGCAACCCCACTTGGAAGTCTATGGGTAATGATAACCCATTTATACCTGTGCGTCTAACGCTGCCATGACCACATTCAGGGACGAAGAAGGCTGCAAGTAGAGTATAATGCCCCTACACCCTTGAACCTTAATACCTACCTAAACCCTAAACCCTCAACCCCAAACCCTAAACCCTAAACTCATAAACAGCACCTAAGTCCATAAGCTCCTAACCCCCTGAACTTTGAACCCGTTGACCTCAAGGTAGCCGAAGTGTAGGGTTTGGGGTTTAGGTCTTAGGGTACGGCTTAGGGTTTAAAGTTTAGGGCTTAGAGTTTGGGGTTTAAGGTTTGGTGCTTAGGGTTTAGGATGTCGGCCTGACCCGAGGGGCGCCCAGGGATCGGCAACCTCAGGTCTTAGGGGCGTAGGGTTTAGGGTTTAAGGTTTGGGGTTTAGAGTTAGGGCTTAGAGTTCAGGCTTGGGGATTGAGATTTATTTATTGATGCTTAGTAGGCAGTAAGGGAGTAGAATCTCTATATAACCCATCTCTACTCTATTCCCTTATTCCCCAGTTAGCACCAGTAAGTACAAGCTTTAGGGCCCTGGGGTTGCTGTTGAATTTGGCGGGTTTAGGGTTTAGGCTTCAGGGTTTGGGGTGTTTCATTGGCTTACAGTTTGGGGTTTAGTTGGATACTGCCCGCCTCTTACAGTATGGTCCCCAAGTCTTGCACTGGGTTTAGGGTTTAGGGTTTAGGGTTTAGGGTATTAGTAGGGCCATTTTGCCCCTAGTAAACGTAATACATGCCTGTTCTGGGGTGGAGCCATATCCAAGCTTAAGGCTTTAGAATCCAGGGTTTAGGGCGGTAGAATTTGTTGATCATGAGGACTACTGTGCCAGGAGTTCTTGTTTACTCAGTTTTGTAAAGTAGCACATAAACCATGTTGTTTTGAAAGGCTTTTTGAAAGGAGTAGCCAAAGATCATGAAGACTTTGGTACAAGCACCGTGGTTTTTGTGAACTGCGGAAAGGGACATGTGTGAGGACTGCTGTACAAAAATGATGCTTGGGTGCATGTATCGATTGTGCGTTCAGCTGGCGTGTGAAAGGAGTATATAGAAATCTTGATGCTACCAGTAATATGCCAGGGTTATTTGGGCTCTACATAACGTCTGCATATAGGTCCGAGGGTAGTTAAGCCATTACTGTAACTTCACTGAGAATCCACATGTAACCATATTTGAGGACTTCGGGGGCTTATACTTGGGCTGAAAGTACACGTATAAATAAGTTATATGTACCCATAGACCTCCAAGTAGGGAACGAGGCAAAGGATCATTTGCCTTCATTGGCACCTTGCTGAGGTTGAGGAGATGTGTAAGCAGCTTTACATGGATTCGGAATGAAAACCGTAAAACACAGGCCTTTACCAAGTGGGTAGTTCCCAACAGTCAAGTCCCATTTTGGTTCCCCTAAACAAAAAGGTGCCGCAATATAATCCATAACGAAAAGGGGCCCATGATTCTGAGAACAACCCAACTGTAAAGGAATCCTGGCCCTGGGCCAACTGCAGTCTGACACCCTAAACCCTTAAACCCTTGCAACCCTAAACCGCGTAGGGTCCTCTTCACGAACCTTACTGCTCAGCCTGGGACTGTGGATACGAAAAATCCTACTTATGTAGTATTTAAGGTTTATCGGGTTTAGGTTTTAAGGTCATGGGCTCTTAGTACAGTAAGTAGGTGAATAATGGAGATACTTGGGGTGATTATGTGGCTTATAGGGCTTATTTACCTACTTACTAAGTCTGCATGACCCTCCAAGTACATGACCCTACGTACCGTCTACCCTGAGAATTAGAGGATCTTGATATCACAAGGTCATGCGTGGGCTTTTTACTCGACTGGAGTACGCCCGCACCCATGTTAGCCGTGCCATAGTTCTAGAGCAGGTTAGAGGGAGTATCACTGCAGAACGTGCGCATAGAGAGCTTGATGTTGCACAAACATAGGCAGATGTGACATGCACATGGATGTGTACGCATATATATACATATACACCTCTCTCTCTCGCTGTCTCTCGCCCTCTACCCAAGAAAGATTGTGGTAGGTGCACATGACAAACGTGCCTTCAAACCTATCCGATCGAACTCTTTGCCGAGCTTCAGCAGCCGCCAAATCCACCTGCACCAATGCAGAGCAAGCACCGTCGCTTTCTAAATTCAACTACTGTGTACGGGTTTTCTGGTTTGCTGTGATATGGCACTGGAGCAAAGATAGCCAGACCACAGAGTCGCTCTGAATGCATGTTCTGTGCGACATGCTGCTATGGCCTGACAATGGCTGGCCATCGAACACATTCACCCACCCCACGGGTTCCAGATTCCACGTCAGATCATTGGGGAACTTGGAACAGTAGCAAAAATTGTAATTTTTGCAGTTCCTTATAATCAGCAAAAAGTAAAAATTAAGTCCAAGTACCCCTAAGAGATGGGGGGAGAATAACTTTCTGGGTTCCTGGGAGCCGCTGCCCAGAAACACACTAAGCTAGCCCTGGGGCCCCAGGTCTGCAATCACCGCGCTGAATCCTCAACCCTAAACACCAGAAGGCCGCCCCATCCCCCGCACCGCCTCCCCAACCCCATCTGCCGAGCCTCGGGCCCAGCAGCTGGGAGAGAGCCTCTCCAGGTGAAAGGGCAAAGTCGCCAGGCTGCAGTGGGAGCACCTTCTTTTGCGAGAGCTTACAGGGTTTGGGGCTTGGGGCTAAGGATTTAACGTTTGGAGTTTTCTTTGTGCCAGACCTTTCTCCGGTTTAGGGTTTGGGGTTTGGGGTTCATGACAACGACTGATTAATTAGCATCTCAGCTATCAACCTGGATCGCTGGATCAAACCGGGACAGAGGGTCTTGTTGATGGAACTTATCCTAGTTGTTGCGAGGCGTGCTACTAGCAGCAGCAACAGGCGGTATGCCTTTTGAATAGCCACTGCTGGGTTGCTGTTAAGGAACTTAAATTAAGTTATCATAATGGGTATATATAGTAAATAATAGGGTTTCCCCAATATAGTAACTTAATTTAAGTTCCTTAACAGCAACCCAGACTGTTGGTAGCCTAGGGAGAGTGCAGGAGTGCATGGCTTCAAGAATCCCTCAACCTTTCGCTCTCCTCGTATCTGAGATTCCTTGCCCGCTCCCTTCGAAACACCGCAGAGTTGAAAAAGCTCTCAGGTTGAAGGTTTAGGGTTTAGGGTTTAGGGCCATATATGATCCAGTTCAGGGTTGAGGGTTTAGGGAGTGCTGAGAGTGACCACATTTGTCAGAATGGCGGTGCCGTTAGTGACACCGGTGATACATTTGGCTTACCAGGAGATGATGCAGGGCCCCTTTAATCAAGGATTACATAGGCTGACTTTAGGAAACCCGGTGTGGGAGGAATCCCAAGTCTAGCTAATCCCTTCCCCCTAATATTAAAACCCCCCCCACCCCCCTAATATTAAGTACCCCCGGCTGTGGTACATTATTGTATATTGGGAATATCTAAGATTAAGGGGGTGGGGGGTCTAAACTTAAAACTGGAGTGGATTCAGTGGATTAGCCCCACCGCACTTTTGCCACTTTGCATGGGTTCCCCTACTCCCCCCACAAGGTTCCCCGCTTAATTAACCTTAATTAATCATTGTTATCCTTAGATAACCTTAACTGAAGCGGGGAACCTAGGGGGGGTAGTATAGAGAAAGGTAGGGCTAGCACGGGACCCAGAACCCTAAACTCTAAACCCTAAACCCTAAACTCTAAACCCTAAACCCTAAACTCTAAACCCTAAACCCTAAACCCAAAACCCTAAACCCATGAACTTTGCAGGGATGAGGTGAACGGTGCCACGGCCTTCGTGCAACCAGGCAGATCGATGGCATCCCCATGGCCCATATCCTCCAGGGAAGAAGGTTTGGCTAGGGTTTAGGGTTTAGGGTTTAGGGTTCAAGGTTCAGGGGTTAGGGTTTAGGGTTTAGGTTAGGAAGGCGTAAAGGGCTTAGGCACGAAACCCTGAAATCAAACCCCTTCAACCCTCAAGGCAAAATAATCTACACCAATAACTCTCCAGCCTATAGTAGCTCTACACCTAAATCGCAGGTGGTGGCAGGCTTATGAGACACGTACTCAGCTTGGCAAACTTGTTCTCTGGGGCGTGCTGAAGACGGGATTTCCTCGTCAGCACTAGGAACCCATGGGGAGCAGGATACGATTTTAGTGGTCCTTCTGGAGAGTATTTCGACCAAACCCTTAAGCCTAAACCCTGATCCTTAAATCAAACCACAAACCCATTTCTCAGATCTTGTGGGCGCAGTATTGCCTTGTCGCGCGTTGTAACCCCCTCCCTCTGATACTGAACCCCCCTCCCTTCATCATCAGAAGTACTACCCATATTGTACCAGCAGCTAATAAGGGGGCTTCAATAGGACCAATGCATAAAAGGAAATATCTGTTATTTAGAGGGAATGGGCTGTATGATGGTGGGAAGAGGATTCTGGAACGCCAACTCAAGTACAAACAGGTGGGGCTGCACAGATTTGTGAAAGTTGCTGTATATGCTACTAGTTATTTTCAAGGTACAGCTGGTTAACATAACGCCTTCTAAAGGATGGCTAGTCGAACCTGACTTTACTCCGAAAAATGACATCCAAAACCCAGAACCACTTTAAGAACAAGCTAGTTGCCGAGTTGACTGTTTGAATGTGGCAGGGACATAAAACATCCTTGACCACTCCAACGCTAACTCTAAGTTCTCTGGACCCATGGCACAAATCATAGTTTCAACTGGCTGAGATTATAGATTGGGTACTACCCCCCTCAGTAACAGTTGGATAATAATTATAATATGGGTATATATAGCCCTTAATAGGACCCCTAATATGGACTGTTACGGGGGGGGGGGGTGCAGTACCCAAT